TGAATACATGTTGTCCAAGGTCCGACCTCGCCTTCACTACTTGCGTCTGTCCAAACGAGCGGGGCTTCCAGTAGACGTTCTGTTACAAATTTACAAGACATTTGTCAGACCAGTGCTGGAATACGGATCACCAGTGTGGGGAGGGTTACCTCGCGGGTTGGCTGACGAGCTCGAGAAAGTACAGAAAATCTGCTGCAGAATCATTGGAATTCCTTCCGGTCAACTGCCGACCCTGGAGGAGCGGAGACGTGAGGCATCCGTACGTGAACTCAAGAGGGTGATGGCGGATGACACTCACCCTTGCCAGCAGTTCCTTGAGCCGGGTAGACGGACAACCTACCAACTACGCCGTCAGACTTCCAGCTACAAGATACCACTTAGCCGTACAGAGAGACATAGACAATCATTTATCCCCAGATCACTCAACATCTTGCAGCAGTGAAGGACACTATAGACTTTTTAAAATCTGAAGGACACTATAGACTTTTATAAAAAATTTTATTGCCTCCTTGTATTTGTATTCTTAAGTTGTTCCACTCAATTATTGTCTATATTTTAATGTGTTATCGATATTTTATACAATACGTCATTATCGGATATTTCTTTTAACACTAAATCTTTTTAACGCTAAAATGTTACAATTGTTATTATTAATATGGAATTACATGTGACTTGCAACACAATTCAGGCTGTTTCAGCCTGCAATGTTGTTTTGATGAATAAAGTTTCAAAGTTTCAATTGCACGGCAATGTCGTAGGTGGAAAATACCGCTCCTTTATCACTAAACCACGTAATATTTTGCTCTTAAAATACATTAAAATGGGTCAGCGGACTGATAAATTAGTGTCATTTAGCTAGTGAAGCAGCAACAGTTTGTTGCTTGTTGACGAACTCATCTAAAATTGCACGGCAATGTCGTAGATGAAGAATCCCACTCCTTTATCACTAAACCACGTAATATTTTGCTCAGATACCTTAAAATACCTTAAAATGGGTCAGCGGACTGATAAATTAGTGTCATTTAGCTAGTGAAGCAGCAACAGTTTGTTGCTTGTTGACAAACTCATCTAAAATTGCACGGCAATGTCGTAGATGAAGAACCCCACTCCTTTATCACTAAACCACGTAATATTTTGCTCAAATACCTTAAAATACATTAAAATGGGTCAGCGGACTGATAAATTAGTGTCATTTTAGCTAGTGAAGCAACAACAGTTTGTTGCTTGTTGACAAACTCATTTAAAATTACACGGCAATGTCGTAGATGAAGAATCCCACTCCTTTATCACTAAACCAGCTAATATTTTGCTCAAATACCTTAAAATACCTTCAAATGGGTCAGCGGACTGATGAATTAGTGTCATTTAGCTAGTGAAGCAGCAACAGTTTGTTGCTTGTTGTCGAATTCATCTAAAATTGCACGGCAATGTCTTAGAAGGAAAATCCCACTCCTTTATCACTAAACCACGTAATATTTTGCTCAAATACCTTAAAATACCTTAAAATGGGTCAGCGGACTGATGAATTAGTGTCATTTAGCTAGTGAAGCAGCAACAGTTTGTTGCTTGTTGTCGAATTCATCTAAAATTGCACGGCAATGTCTTAGAAGGAAAATCCCACTCCTTTATCACTAAACCACGTAATATTTTGCTCAAATACCTTAAAATACCTTAAAAATGGGTCAGCGGGCTGATAAATTAGTGTCATTTAGCTAGTGAAGCAACAACAGTTTGTTGTTTATTGACGAACTCATCTGAAACTAGAGTTCCCCGATCTCATACCTTCGCCAAATGATGTTAATCTTTATGACTGACAAAGTTTAGATTAGATTATTCCCCCCTGATTTAAGAAATAGGAACCTTATTTTCATGAATTATATCATTTTATCATAATCTCAACCAAAAGACAGTCTCATATTAACAAAGAATGCATTCTAGCATTTCCTAATAAATTATGCAAATGAGGTCCTGATTTGAATAAATTATGTTTAATGATGTTCACCTCAATTTAACTTTCAAATACCACAAGTATGAAATTCCAGGCAGTTATCATTACATAATTATAAAATTTTCTCATTAATTATGCAAATTAAGTCATTATTAACATAATCAACATCTTCCTGTGTTTCTCTCGTTGTCAATTACCAATGTCACAAGCTTCAATTGTCCTATCATGGAATGCAGCTGATTTATAGAATTTCCCCATAAATTATGCAAATTACATCCATATTTGCATAACTGTCACATAATTATATTAAGCATCACGTAAGCTACCTACATACCAAAAATCACGACGATCCGTCAACCGGTTCTTGAGTTATCCCCTTTTGAATATTTTCAAGAATTTATCCCTGCAGTTCCAGAGCAAGCTGCTAGGGGGCCTACACTCACGTCACTTCTTTCCCAGCACAAGAGCTACCTACCATCTAAATTTTATCACCATAGCATGTCTAGATCATGAGATATCAAAACCGGAAGTTCAGCTGCAGTACCATAACATGCCGCTAGGGGGTCCAAAATCTAATCATTTTGAGGTCTCATCAAGACCTACCCACCTACCAAGTATCAAGACAATCCATCAAGGCCTTCTCAAGTTATCGTGTTTACAGACAGACAGACAGACAGACAGACACACACACACACACACACATACACGAACGCCCCTGAAAACATAACCTTCTTGGCGAAGGTAATTACACGGCAATGTCGTAGATGAATAATCCCACTCCTTTATCACTAAACCACGTAATATTTTGCTCAAATACCTTAAAATACCTTCAAATGGGTCAGCGGACTGATGAATTAGTGTCATTTAGCTAGTGAAGCAGCAACAGTTTGTTGTTTGTTGTCGAATTCATCTAAAATTGCACGGCAATGTCCTAGATGAATAATCCCACTCCTTTATCACTAAACCACGTAATATTTTGCTCAAATACCTTAAAATACATTAAAATGGGTCAGCGGACTGATAAATTAGTGTCATTTAGCTAGTGAAGCAGCAACAGTTTGTTGTTTATTGACGAACTCATCTAAAATTACACGGCAATGTCTTAGAATGAAACTCCCGTCCCTTTATGACTAAACCACGTAATATTTTGCCAGCCAAGCAACATGGAATCTGAAAAAAAAATATCTGGCAAGTGCTAAGAGACGTCTCCTGTGGCATTGCTGCAACAAGGGTTGTAATTTTCTAGAGACGTAGAGATAATTAAAGAGGGTGGAATGGGCTACCGACTCGGTCGAAGAATATCAGCTCTGATTGTGAGTCAATCAACTGTACCAGGTCATTATAGGGCTAGAAGATCATTGGGGTCACCCTGCAAAAGCCACAGAGAGTTTCTTCGTGATCTGGCCAGTAATCAAGTTAAACAGTGCTGCTAGAATGCGCATACAAAGCTTATTCTCACTCAGAGGTACTCCACTAGGCCTGAATTACAGATAAACCCTTTTGACTAGTAATTGCAGTCAAGGCCAGTTTATCGACCACGGAGTAAAGGAGGTATCATTTGTTTTTGTACTAAAGGCTTTGTAATGCTGATGCTAGCTGGCATGTATCAATCATTGTCCTTAAGAAGCTTAGGTAGTCATTTGCTTTAGATGATTAGGCTTTACTGTCCGTGAGCTTCAAACTGGTAATTTGAATGAAACTTGGAACTTTGTTTGTTTATTGAGATCTCCATTAGTATGGTAAACTCCATACTATTCTTCCTGGAATCCAGCAACATAAAATAATAATAATAATAATAACAATAATGATTATATTTTTGATAATAAATAAAACATACAAATTATGCTGAAATTATGACAAACTTGAAACAAAATCAGCATAGAAAAATAAAAGTGAATTGGAGATCAGAGGTCAAATAATAGAAATAATATGTATGAAAGGAAAGTATGTACTTTCCAATCAATGCAGAATTGAAGTAACAAAACAGTAAGCAAATATTTGAACTGACATAAATAATAACAAAAAATATAAATAACAAATGAAACAATCTCACTCACTCTCACTCTCTCCCATAGCTTAGTCAGCCGTCGGGGCAGCATGCTGTTTGGCCAAGTTCTTCCACTGCCGGCGGTGCTCCGCCAGTCTGGCCATCTGGTTGGCTGTTAGACCAGTCCACTAATCTATACGCAATCTATACAATCTAATGTGATTCCTTTCAATTAAGTGATTAAGTAAATGACTACAAAAGAAGAGATCTCGGAGGAACTTGGTGTTTGATAAATAATATTAATAATAAACCCAATGTGAAACTACTTCCTCGGTGTTCCTCTGACGTTCTGAAGAACTCAGTCTGCATACATACAGGCAAGAAAAATATTCTTTAGAAATTACGCTGTTTTCAAAAGCAATGTTGACCCTAATTGTACAGATCAATGCATCTCTAGGGACATGTACGTGTAGGGGTGAAATGGACAAAAGTTACAAGTTCAAGAAAATCGATCTTGAAGAAATAACAAACGGCCATGTTCAGATTAAATGTAAATGATAAAATACATTTCTGATTCTGATTTAGTGATATTTACATACAGTACTTCTACAGCCAGCTATAATCCTATTATAGAAAATAAAGGACCAATTTAAAACTAAAAAAAAAACATTTCACAACTAAAACGTTCAGATTTAGAAGCTTCATCAACATCCGCCATCTTTCTTCACCTCTGAAGGATAGTCATGTGACCTAGGAGTCAAAGGTCACCCAGGTCACGTGACTGGACGAAGGTATAATCCTATTATATATCCGTCGATGTTTAGAGTCCAAAGTTGTCAAGAACTTAATTTGATGTGTTGGGACAAAGTTTTAGTGTATCATTATCATTAGTGTATCAAAGTTTGAATGCATTTTTATCAATAACTGTATGTCTGGACAAATCAACATATAACGAGTCGTTACCATTCAAATTATACGACCTTCGTAATTATTTAAGATTCCCCACCCTATGTAAGATGACACTAAAATTATCTGTTATTTCTGCACACATTGTCTTTCCTATAGGGCCTCCCGACCCAAATGAGAGGTATCCTCTAGCAGTAATGGTGTTCGTCCACGGCGGAGGCTACACATCTGGTACCGGTAACGCTTACGACGGGACCGTCCTGGCCAGCCATGGCCTCGTGGTGGTGGTCACCATCAACTACAGACTAGGAATTTTCGGTAATATGCTATAACATTAGCTCATGACAAACCACATTTATTCACGAGATTATGTAATAGAACTTTATTTGCAAAATCAGACCCTAAGGCTAATTGCTTTAAAAATTTACAGATTCAAAGCTAAGATAGTACAATACAGTAATAGTCAGCAGACAATTACTGTCTGGTAAAACTTATACATCTACTCCTACGCTCGCTATTATGAGGTTTGACTTCTTCTTTGAAGGCAGTGGATAATGAATAGTCCCACGTTCTGCATGATAAGTGGGTTTTGTGATCATAGTAGAAACGTAGTCTTTTGGTGACCTTCTAAATGATGAAAGGATGGAGAAATTGTGGGAACTGTTTTTCATTTAACATTTTTTTGAATTGCAAACAAAGTTGAACGTTGCTCTTTATCTCAAAAGATCTGACCTGTTGTTTCTTGTTTCAAAAGGATTCCTGAGCACCGGTGATAAAACGGCACCCGGAAATTACGGACTTCTCGACCAGATCGCAGCCCTGCGCTGGATCAACGAGAATATAGGAAACTTTGGCGGCGATCCATCCAGGGTAACCCTCTTCGGCATTGGCGCTGGGGCGGCGTCAGTGAACCTCCTCACATTGTCTCCACTCGCAGCAGGTATGACCCAGAAGTTACAGCTATTGGTACAGGGTTACCTATCTGAAACTTTGATGTGTTACAGGGCAGACGCATTGGGAAATCAGTGTGCTGCATGCTTAAGCAGACTAAACACCACGGGAGAGTCGGGAGTGTGAAATTTATGTGACTTAGCTGGGAGGGTATCATTGATTGGTAGTCTGATCGATGCACTGCCTTGTTGATAGCGGAAAGCCCCAAAGACCTACCTGTTTTAAAGTTGTCATACAGTATGAACACAACTCTTATCATATATATTCTCGATGATATTAAGTCGCGGGGTTGCCATCAGCTGCTATTATGTTTAACGGCGCGTTGCAATCATGGCCATCTCGGTGTCCCCCTAGGTCTATTCCGGAGAGTCATCCTTCACAGCGGGTCTGCCCTCTCTACGTGGTCGATGGCGAACGATCCACTGCGGTTAGTGACGACGATTGCGGAAAAATTGGACTGCTGCCGAGTGGACGTCGCTCAGACGGTCCAGTGTCTCCGGAACAAATCGTACCAAAAATTGCTTCTCAAAGACGTCACACTGAGGGCGCCGGCGTCAAGATTCTATTCCGTGTTCGGGCCGGTGGTGGATGGAAACGTCATCCCGGATGAACCCAGGCGGTTATTAGAAGGGGACCTGTTCAGAAGCTATGACTTCATGGTTGGGATTGCAGAAGATGAGGGATACACATACGTCGAAAACCTTCCCGATATTGAATATGGCATATCCGAAAATGGGTACAGGGCTGTTGTGAACTATTTTGTCAACCAGGTATTCCCGTATCGGGAAAATGAAATAACGGACGCTATACTGTTCCTGTACACCAACTGGGGGAACAACACCAACAGAACGCGCAGGGGAGGCCTTGTGCGGCTTTTCACTGAACAGCAGGTAGCCGTGCCTTTGGTCGAGGTGGCGAATCTACATTCCGTGCGTAACTCGGAGAGTTCTACCTACATGTTCGCGTTTAACTACCGGACCAACCTCAGCCCCTACCCGGACTGGGTCGGGGCATGTCACGGGGAGGAACTGCCGCTGATATTCGGCGCGTCCATTGCTGCTCTGGGGATGTTTGGACATTTGAATTTTACCAAAGGAGAGTCCATGTTAAGCGGTGCAGTTATGACTTACTGGAGTAACTTTGCCAAAAGTGGGTAAGTTGGTGCAAGTATGTGGTTTTCTTTACAAATTTCATCTTAGATAAAGATACATGTATAGCATGCCGCCAGCCCACGAGATACTGGCAAATAATTTGGACATCTTTACTAAAACTGTTGTCAATTCTTAGGCAGTAGAAGTACACTTGGTAACAAAGTAACATGTTCAAAATACTGCTCATTGTGTTTTAGCAACGCGTACCATCGTCAAAAATACAGCAAACCATACGTTGCCAATCATGAGTAGCAAGCTACTGTTTGATATGACTTGACTAAGATCAGATGTTGATTTTTTATCTGTTTTTCAGTGACCCCAACAAGCCTCAGGCTCAGAAAACAAAATTCATCCACCAAAGACCAAATATATACGAGAACCTAGAATGGAAGAGATACAGCATCGAAAACTGCCCAACTTGTGCGGAAAACTACCTCCATTTAGGACTGAGGCCGCGGCTTGCACAAGGATTCCGATCTCAAAGAGTGGCATTTTGGATAGACTTGGTGCCAAAGCTCCTCTATCCGCAAGCGGTACCGAGTAACAACTATCTTTATCCAGATGTGGAGGCGAATGGTCTGTGTGAGACTCTTGATATTCATCAACCTGGCAGTGGTGTCAGCATCGCTCGACCAGGCCAGGGGACAAAGACGACCAGTATTAGAAAAGGGACAAAATGTGTGACGTTGCCAACTCCCGTTGTGCCATCTGAGAGTACAGACAACAACATTCCCTCACCTGTACCAGACGATCAGGACTGGGAAACGCCGCGTGAAAGCAAACGCGACACGGGGAACATTTACCCGCAACTCAGCATCGTCATAGCCATTGGAACCGCGCTGCTCGTGGTAAACATTACAGTATTCGTCATCTGTTTCAGCAAAGGTAAGAACCAGGACTCCGGGAACCTAGAAAATGGACACACTAGGAAAAGAGCCCGACAAAGTGTAGATGACGACCATAGTTCCATAAAATCCAACCCATCTGATCATGATAGTAGAGAAAAAGAAAGGAGTCACAAAACAGAGATGATAGAACTCAAAGAGCAGCGTAGCTCCAAGCAGTCCCAGTTGGATCCTACTAACGGCTTTGACAGTAAAACTCTTGTACATCTATGACATGTTTGTATGGTTGAAGACGTGTGTAAGAGTGTGTGTTATGATATACTGCTTAATAAAATCCGGGCTATCCGAGCGCATAAAATATTGAGATATCATTTGTCTTTGCTATCTTCTCCGCTGTTTGATGAATAACATGCAACACTTTTTATCACTTGTCACTCCCCAACCGACATTGACCGTCACTTCAACCGCTGATTATCTTATTTCACTCACGTCTAACGGATTTTACTGTACATCATTGACTGTGGAGAGCTTTCCTAGTTCTTAGAGTGAGTCATATGTAGCCTTGTGTGTAAGTCGTAAATTGCTAAAGTAACCATCTTTTTTATTCGCCAGTAAGACAATACATAAATTGTGCCGCCCAACTAAACCTGAAATTTTCACTTTGAATATATGACAATCTTACTTTGTTGTTTAGTCAATTAGTTAGTTAGTTAGTTAGTTCGTCGTGTTAACTCCATATTATTTTGTATCTATTTTGATTTAATTTGTTTGTTTCGTTGTCACTTATTTACAATACACGTGTGTAAAAAGAGGCCATAAAAACAATTGGATTTTAGGAGAACCCACTCGATAAACCCTTAGGTTTCTTGGACACATTTGGTTGTACATATTCATTACATACTGTTTTCATTTGTGTGTGTAAACTCGCAATAAACAAATAAATAATAATAAACAATCCATAAATGCAACAAGCCTATGAATCAACTTGAAGGTAAATGTAGCGTTCCTCATATACAACATTTTATTCAAAACACTCATTTCACAAGGTTGCTTCAGTTTATATAATTGTGTATTTCAATGTCGATCAGTCGCACATGTCAAAAGTCAGTAATTCAACACCCACTGGTACATGGTAGAAATGTGTAATTCATACGTTTACTATATAGTTTAAATAACTATTCAAGGACTCCCTTCAGAATACAAAATACACGTGGACTTAATAGTAACAGTAGATTACACATCATCTTACTCACGAATACATAGTTATCTTGAATTATTGAAATCGCAAAATAACATCAAACAACAGAAAGATCTTCTGGCAACATGTTAATATCTTAAAGGAATAAACAGAACTGTTATTTCGTCTTAATATATGCAATATTTTAATGTTTTTGTAAAGTTAAAACCTTTGTTACAACATAGAGGTTGGTTCTCACTTAGAGCTTTTGCCCAGTCACTCTGGTCTTCCTCAATAGATTGACCCAGTGAGACTTGACACGAGGCTAATGTTATATCATATCTTGTTTTCCAAAATGGATGGAGAGCAAGGTATTTGTTCAGGAAAAGTTATTATAAAACCCATTAATCCAAGGATTAGATAGTCCAGCAACAAGTGCATGTAATCCCCTGGATCTATGATTCAGTGCTCTCGAGTCACGATGACTCCGAAACAAATCGAATCTTGGATACGAGCACAAAGTTTTCCCATTACTGAATATTGATGGCAGGGAGGCAGCATAGACCCGGATACTTTGTACGTCGGCGCCAGTCTGTCCGACGTGGCGGGGAAACTCCTGAAGTGGAAAATTCCGTCGCCATGGGACCTTCCCACAGGAACCACAGGACATCAAAGGCAGGTGATAGAAACAGCCATGACCTGATCACAAGGTTTGAATTCGACATGGAATATGACCTAGCTTATATAACAACATCTAGGGGGAAACGCAAATCTGTATCTCCATAAGGCACACATGATTACGGATAAGTGTAGCACATTCTTAGATGCCCCGAAAAACTACAATTAATAATGGTGATTCACAGGAGACAAAGATTAAGAAAACTTGAAAGTGTGGCACATTCCTAGATTGCCCGAAAAACTACAATTAATAATGGTGATTCACAGGAGACAAAGATTAAGAAATCTTTAGAGAGTACCAGAGGCATGATGCTCATATCGTATGTAAAAAGAGTGCCCCTGGCATTAGGGAGGCTGCCCAGAGGCCATGGCATTGCCACAGAGATTAAAGCTAGAACACTCTGGTGTGCTGATTCATTCAAAGGACAAGAAATACACATTCATGTACCGAAAAACACATCCGTGTACCAAATCAAGCAGGAAATAGCACCACATTTAAATACTTATAATTGTATTCTTATAACTGTATTCATCTAAAAACATACTAGATTTCCTTTGAATGCATCATTTTGCCGTGAATTTTAAGCTTCGTTGCTCAACAGGAAACATGTAAAAGCTATACAGTGTTCAATATCTATACATTATTTTCCACTTAATTTTTCCTAATTAATTTAACGTTACCATGTGCTCCAGAGCTTCTCCTCCCGTTACAGACTAAAACGCAATACTAACACATTCAACTATAAAAAATGCCTTTGCAGTTCAAAATACGTATCATGGAACATTAACTTTATACACGATAAGAATGAGAAGACTGGACTTATATAATTCGTCAGAGGCAACTGTGTGGTATATGATGAGATTGGTCTCGACTTATCAGTTTTACACTTTATACAACACGAGTCTTGGTGTCCTCTATATCCTCATGTTCCACCAGGCAGCTGCTCTTTGTGGCTATTTCCTCCAGTTCTAACGTCTCATCACTCTGACTCGACTCGTAACGATGTGCAGTCTCGTGTATCTTTAGCAAACTGTGCATGTCCGATGCCGTCAGTCTTGTCCTCTCTTGTCTATGGATGATTTCATCAGCTTTCCTGCGTCGCCGCCTGGCTCTCTTGTAACAGACAATAAGTACGACAAGGTTTAGACACAGTAAGGTCGCGCCGACGGCAATGACGACACTCAGTCCTGATGACTTAGGCTCCATGTGGTCCGTGCTGTGATGGAGATCAGCCCAATCATGCGGAATCTGGTCGGACGTACCTTGATCAGTTGCCGGGGAAGGGGACACAGCGGTTGCGGGCACGGGGATACACTTGTCCGATGCCTGCTTCTTCCCACCGAAGGTCTTCAACCTATCGTCTGGATAGCGCACTGCAAGTCCGTTTTTACCGGCAATAGTCCGAGCTAGGTCAGGAATCTCACACATCTCGTTGGGAGTGAGTGGCGGGTGTAGCTTGTTGTGTCCGGGGACGGCCTGCGGGCGCAGCAACTTCGGGACCAGCTCGATCCAGAACGCCACCCTCTGCGACCGGAACCCCCGCGATGTCCGCGGGTTCATCCCCAGGTACATGAAGTTCTCCCGGCACGTGCTGCAGTTGTCCACGCTGTACGGCTCCCAGGCGATCCGCTCGTACCTGTTCGGCCTCTCGTGGATGAACGTGGTTTGCTGATTTTTAGGTTCTTCCGGATTTCTGAAAAAAAAGTGATACAAAACAATATTTAATCGACACTGACATTTGAAACTGATATCAGCTCGCTCTTAGATATACTTGTATTCCCAATTATTCATAGACATATGTACATCCATGTGTAAAAACAATATTACTATTGAAGGTTGTCAAACTCTGCAGATCTAGACTCACACGAGAAGCTGCGATGACTGCAAACATCGCGGTGAGGTGCTGTAAAACTTCTCCTACTTACCCACAGTGGCCAAACATGCTACATTGTTTCTAATGTAAGAGTGCATTCCAAAAGGATTAGGCCACAGCAAATAAATTTTATGGATGACATCCTTCGCAGACTCCAAAATCTAATGCGATAGGGCGAAAAAAACAAGGCGGGCCGAAAAAACAAGGTTCCTACAATTTAAAATTTTGACTCAATCATTGTACAAATGCATGGTTTCAGTGGGGACATCACATATACACAGCCAGCAACACAAATCACTGCATCAAAGTAAGAAACAAAACATAAAGTCAGAGCCTTTTCTTGTCTCCTCTCTTCATATAGTTATCTGCCATCCACCTTCCGGCATGGCAGCAGACATCTTTGCCCATTTTCGGCATGTTGACCACTGTGAGAAGGCAACAAATTTTTTTCCAAAATCAGGCGAAAATTAATGCGCGCGCTGATGTCATCCAATCCAATTGCTGTGGCCTTATGTAAGAGTGCATTCCCCAAGGCTTATAGGAAGAAACGCAGTGCAGAATCATACGTGTAAAGGACTTAGCTTACCCGCTTTTGGCAAAGTTGCTCCAGTAGGTCATGATGGCAGCACTCAACATCGTTTCTGCTTTGGAGAAATTTTGATTTTGAAACATTTTCAAGGGTGCCAAGGGAGCGCCAAATAGAAATGGCAGTTCTTCGCCGTTAACTGCCCCTGCCCATTTCGGAAAAGGACTGTTGTCCGCTCTATACGTGAAACAGTAAAAATAAGTCGAGCTTTCCGTATTTCGTATAGAGTGTGTGTTGGCAACGTCAATGATAGGCACTGCAATCTGCTGTTCCGTGAACATACGCACAACACTACGTCGCCTTGTCTCATTATTGTCGTTTCCCCAGTTCGTGTAAATAAACAAGATGGCGTCCTGAATTTCATTTTCTCTATAGGGAAAGACGTGATTGACAAAGTCGCTGACGACAACTCTGAATGCGTCTTCTGGGAGACCACTGTTGATGCCTGACAAGTTGCCGACGTAGTTGTAGCCATCGTTTTCGGCGATACCAAGCATCAGATCATAACTACGGAACAGGTCTCCTTCCAGAAGCCTTCTCGGATTGTCCGTTATAACAGTGCCGTCCACGACAGGACCGAACATGGAGTAAAACGGGGAGCCTGAAAACGTGGCTTCCTTGAGGAGTAAGTCAGTGTAGGGTTTGTCGCGGAGACAGTCTACTGTCCGGAGGGTGTCGTCTCGGCAGCACCCCACTCTCTCCGCTAAAATTGTGGCTGAGTGGCGGGGATTATGTGCCATCGACCACGTAGATAGAGCCGAACCACTCTGGAGAATGGCACGGCGAAACAACCCTGCAAAAGTGCACATAAATAAATCATAACACTGTGTACAGAATATATAGACCCATTTGTTACAGGATATGGGGAATCTGAGTTGGAGAGCACTTCATAAAGGAACAAGGACGAAGTAATTCAAACTTCTGGTAGGCTCTATATATAAATTTTCAGATACAGTTTTATTTTCTAATCGATAATGCAATCATAATGATCTCCATAAGTACAAACCGTAAGAATGTATCACCTGTACAT